TTAATAATTTATATAATTTATAAACACTTCTCAAATTTGCTTGTTCATTGTAATATACAAAACAGATCACACACACACACACACACATGTTATTTTATTTTGTGTTTCTTGTGAAGTACTATGACATATTTTTAAATAATTTTGACAATCAAGGAGGTAGATTTACCTTTTTGAACCTCAACGTGAAGTGGTCGAATACGCTCCTCTTATTACCTTTACCTAGCGGTAAAAGTTAAAAGATACGATTAATCCATTTTTTCAAATTAAAATGGGTGGAATAGTATTTTTTTTTTAAATGAGTGATTGAAAAAGGAAGAAATTTTTTTGATTTACGTGTAATATTATTTTATGACAGATTGTGTGATTGAAAAATATGAGAAAAAAAGAAATTTAATTTAATGAGGACCAAACGGGGACGATATAAATTACTGGACACAAAAAGGTACTAATATACAAATAATCGTGCAAGTAATGAATAATATACTCATTGTTTGGAATTGAAAATTAATTTTTTCAAAAATTTTTATTTTTATTATTATTATTATTATTTTTTCCACAAGTCTTTAGTCACGCTAGTGAAGATGGGTCCCATTTACATCAAGCCATTTGCACGTGTAGGTCTGAAAGTGGCTTGCGGGAATATATATATGTTATAAGCATGAGTGTATCGAAATGATACCAAAAACCTCCACAGTTCCCCTTTATATTTGTGACCCCCCCAACACTATCATCACCTTGTCGGCCTCTATTCATTTTCTCCATCCGGAAGAGCATCTTCTCTTCTCTTGATCAAATTCCATAAATCTTTTTCGAATAGTTCTTCATCAACAAATTTTATATTTTTTCATCATGAAACAAGAACAAGCAGTCGGAACTCTTGCTAGAACAAATAGTTGCAAAAGTAACAACAAGATCATCCCAGCAAATTATGTAAGATTATCGTCTCTTAATCCAGAGAACCCTGAAGAATTTCACCAAGGGGTACTTGTTCGGAGAAGCTCAACCGCCGCCTGCCAAAGAGGACGTAGCACTGGATTCTCTGGAATTCTTCGATCACTCCTTCATATTATATCATTCCCGACGATTCTCCCCACATGTAGATGGCTAAATATTCCGACCCAACTGTCTATAACACCCTCACTTGGCCGGAAAGTCACCGGAACCCTCTTTGGCAACCGGAGAGGCCATGTCAGCTTTGCCGTCCAAGATGACCCGAGATCCGAACCTGTTTTACTCATTGAGCTTGCGGTTTCAACGTCAACTCTGGTGAAAGAGATGTCTTCTGGGCTAGTAAGGATTGCCTTGGAGTGTGAGAAAGGCCCACCGCCGTCTCGAGGCGGCCGGCCTCCGGTAAGGCTGTTCAATGAGCCAATGTGGACTATGTACTGTAACGGTAGGACTTGCGGGTACGCTCTTTCACGCGCATGCACAGATTCAGACTGGCACGTGCTGAGCACCGTTCAGACCGTATCTGTCGGTGCCGGAATTATTCCGGTTGTGGATGACGGCCGGAAGAACGGTGCATCAGAAGGTGAGTTGTTATACATGAGAGCTAGGTTTGAGCGAGTTGTGGGGAGCCGTGACTCGGAAGCTTTCTATATGTTGAACCCGGACGGCAATGGAGGGCCTGAACTCAGTATTTTCTTACTTAGACTATGAAAACAAAAAGGGAAAAAAAAAATGATTTGGATTTTTATTTGTGAGATATAGTGCTTGCTTGTGTATAATTGCAATTTGGAAAAATAATAGTGTTTAATTAGGGAGAGCTTTTATTTTGAATTCTATAATCATACGACCAATTCGTGTTGCTTTAATTATACTACTACTTTACTTGATGGATGTTGGTGGACAAGATTATTAATTTCTTCCACAAAAATGTGAACACCTTTTACTATGTTTCGATGTTTGTGAAAATCAAAGATTTTCTTGCGCATGGAGGATGGAGAAAGTGATTATTATAGAGTAGTCTTTGTGGTTCATTTTACACAATAATTCTTTCTTTCCTTTTCTTCTACAATTTTTAAATTAATTATTTTAAGATTAGAAAAGATATTTTCCTAATAATCAATTACATTATATACATGTAACGATTTGTAATTTGTTTCATAAGGTAATAAAAAACTACCACATTAACAACATCAAATTATTAACCGACACAGATGTCATATAGGACGACTACAATAGTGATGACTGCAAATAATATTACTTTTATAGGTATCTTCG